CATATCCTCAATTGCTAATAGCAGTACATAGAGAATATATACATATACAAGGATGTACACACACACCAAATGCAAACCACGTGTAGTTACTCCAGTTATTAACCCCTGTGTGATACACTGCCTTTACCGCTGAACTCCAACCACCCTGACTGCGTTTCATCCACCAAATCGACTCGATTCAGCCAACCCATCCAACCCAGTCCCCAGATCTGGGAGCTAGGTGCCAAATAACAACCCACCTCCAGCACCAAAACCCTTCCTTGGTCCTCCACCACCTTGGGGTTTGCCTTCAGCGCAGACCCTACTGAGCTGTCTGCTGTGAGGGGTTTTACTCTCTGTACCTTATCACTCGAGAGGACCAGGAAAGTGCTTTCAGCTGCTTCAGTTCTCAGAAATAAAAAAACACTGACCGGTTCTGGAAAACGGGGCATACGCAAAAGAGCAGATGGTGCATTCACTGCCAGCAAGCAACACGGCCACCCCAAACGCATGCTGTTAGACCTCTGAAAGCACCCCCACCCACCCCCCCATCACATAACACACAGGTAAAAATTACTAGCTCTGAAGCACTGCAAAATAGTTAATCCTTAGTACTGGAAGCTAAACACACATCCATGTGTTCATGGCCAAGAGAAAGCTGAAGCTCTGCCTGCTGGCAGAATGGACCACTGCTGCGTGAATGTGTCACAGCGACTGGGGAGACAGGCGGACACACAGAGATGAAGAGGTTACAACTGCTGAAATGCACAAAGACATTCTTATTTCAACTGCCTGCAAGCAAAAGTTCCCCTGCACGTTCAGGGAAAAGCAGTCAACAATGGGAGTTAATTCACCCACACATTGCTGTCACCTGAACCGAAACACAGGGGCCAAGATGACCAGAAGCATGCCAAGGGACTTGTGCCTCAAGATGGTTCTAAAAAAAAAAACACCAAAAAAACAACCAAACTCCAAACAACCTTTTATTTTCAGAAACCATGCAATTCTCCTCTTGAAGCATCAACTAGTCACAGCTCCTGAAAATCTTGGCCAAAACCCTCCGAATCTCTCTTTAAAACGCAAGACAGATTCAGTTGACTCAAGGTAAACTGTCACGAGATGAGATCACCCAATATTTGCTTTAAAAACTGGCACACGCTAGACAAAATCTAGAATATCGTAACACAACAAATCTACCTACCTACAGCTTGGGATATTTTGTTCTATTACCCCTCTATTTTTTTCAAACAGGAGATTATTTTCTAATAAAACCATTCCAACCAACCTTCTTTTTGTAGCTTAGAATTTAAGAAGTCAAAACTCATTGCAGAACCTTTTCATTTGGGGTAGTTTAGGGGGTTTTTAGCTTGAAAAAAACTTTAATCTGGAGGATTTTTTTTTTTTTCTGCTATGCAGCCAACACAAGAACATCCAAACATGTCTTCTACACAATTACTTTTACCCACAAATCACTAAGAACGGAAGGAATTGTTGATCTGAGGATCCAAGACTAACAGCCGGAGATCCCCGGTACGCATTGCTGTAGCAGCCACCGGAGGGGAAAAAAAGATGCTCAGCGATGACATGGGAATGGGGAAGCTGTCTCCTACCCAAGCCAAGCTGCCCTGAGGTTGGTCCCCAACGCTGTCCTTCGTTCCCTTGAGTCCCTCCAGCCACAATGACCATTTGTTCCCTGTTAAGGTGCAAACGCGGCTCCCCGAGATGTTTGGAAAGGGCCCCTTTGGGATCCCCTCGTGAAATCTGTGCTTGTCTCCACTATTACTACTTTACTCTAGAAACTACAAAGTACTTCATTTTTCCCGATCTCCATAGAAATATAAAAGATGAAGCTATCCAAACCCCATATAATCTAATTATACTACATTACAGTGCCGGAGATAATTTCTATGCCCCGTATCTGCATTCCAACCTCTATTCCTCTCCCTACATTACTCAGCCTCCTCCGGCCAGGGGAAATCTCCAAGTGCAGCTAAAGCTTTCTTTGCACTAACACATAATTTAAGGAAACGGGGAAAAGATGGCAAATTAAACAATATTACACAGTTATTATACATTATGCCCAAATGCTTAAAAATCCGCTCTGCCTTCCAGGAGCTCACTTGGCTTTCTGAGCAGCACCTAGCTCAGAAAGTGTTGAGGTTCTCCAAAAACCAGCTTTTTTTCTGCCTTCGTTTACCAACATAACAGGAGCCCTTGGCCAAATCTCTGCACTGGCAGGACCCTGAATTTTCCCAAGGTTAGATCTTATTTCTTCATAAATAGCGAGGAGAAGAAAACCTTCCTCAACTCCGGGAATATCAGGGTTCAGATGCCGGATACCACACATCCGACTCATCTCCACCACTCAACAGCAATTAGCTTAAAATAAATAGAAAAAGTGTCGATGTTAATAGCAACGGCTGACTCGCTTCTCGTGTTCTAGTCATCGTGGATAAAGTGCAGAGGAAAAGGGAGTTAAAGGTATCTTGGGATGATGAAAAGGGTTAAATGGGGGACGCAACAACAACCATAGCTACAGACTCCATTTTCGGAGAAAGCAGCTTTAGCTAATACGTTTCTGCTGGGATTTCTTATTGACTGGATCTCAATTTGTTTTTAATTTGCTCATAACATGCTCAAAGGGCGTAAACAGCCTGGCACGTGGGCTCCATACAAGCAACAAGAGGGCTAAACGCGAGACAAAGAACAGAAAACGGACAGGTTAACACAGCGAAAGCGAGGGGAATGACTCCTGCAGGTGTTGGTATAACATTGCTTATTTCTGCACCTGGATGGCTGCAAGAACATCCTTTGCAAAAGTGCAAGCGCATCCCCTGAAAAATGCACAGAGTCCGCAGACCTCGGCTCACCAAGCCCACGGGCTCCAGCCACTGAGAACTCCCTGCATCCTGGCTCTCAGCTGCGGTGGGAAGGGTTCTTCCCCTCCTCTCCACCACCATGCCAGAAAAGGATGGAGCCTATGCTGGCCCCAATTCCTCGCCAGGTGGTCTTTCCCGCTAGCTCAGGAGGTGCCACACAACTTCTCCCAAACCTGTTTGAGGAGGGGATGCTGTAGCCATCACCTCTGGACGAGTGAACCCTTGGTCTGCTCTCCCGTGGCTGGTGGCTGGAGCATCGCCGGCTGGAGCATCGCCGGCTGGAGCAGCACGGAAGGTCTCTCCTGACTGGGACAGACAGCACTGGGAGATCTCCCGTCTTCCGAAGGGATCAGCACCATGTGCACGACCGGGTACCCTCCCTGCAGACCCCTACACATGCAGGGAAGCCACTGCATAGTCCCCACGGCTTCAACACAGTTCCTGCCAATGCTCACGCCTCTAAGGGAAAAGGACTCTAAAGAAACTGTGCTACTGCTTAATTGAAGTACAGTTGGCTAGCCTGGATACTAGTTGGCTAGCCTGGATAGATAATTTTTCCTAAAATACAGTGGAATTACCTCCCCTAAAAATATGCTGTGTTTTTTTCAAGGTTCGCCTTCAGAAGATTTTTACAAAAGGAGCACAGAATTCTTCTACCTGGAATCTGCAGGACAGCCTGGTTGCCCTTGTTTCTCAAACACCCCCCTCAGCTTTGTAAGAGGAAGGCGGCCCAAAGAGAGTGTCACATTATGTACAGAAAACATTCCTCAATTAGGAAAAACCACCTCTGAAATGCAACACGCATGGAGAACCTCACAGCGACAAACCTGCCTGCTGTGTACGTGAAACACTGGACTTGGTTTCTGGATACAAATGCCCTTGATGCTCCCAGGAGAAGAGCAAGGAGCTATAGCACCTCTGGTACCATGAGCTGTAATTCCTGAACCCCCGCTGCGTCCCCCCCGTAGAGGTGTAAAGCTCGTGAGCACTGAGACAGAGCGGGCTCCACAGCATCCCCTCCAGCTGCATGTTAAATGGGGTGTCCCGTCGCTAAAGGACCCCCTTAAGTACCAAAGATCAGGGAGCTGCGTGGGAATGATGGAGAAATAGCAAATATAACAGACACCCTTCCTCAGTTAAAAAACAAATAATTAAAATCATCCCAGTATGAAGAGAATCAGCTGTAGCCTTACTCTGATGCAGCCAGCCTCGGCTGGTTGAAGAAAGATTTGCCCCCCAAATAGTCAAAGGTCTATACAGTAACAAAGTACAAAATGAGAACACCACCAAAGAGGAAAAGCTGGTCAATAGTTTCATGCTTGCACCTTGAGGCTCGCTTTTCTTACACAATTTGATGATTTTGCATCAAATCCATAATTTTCTGATTTTTTTTTTCCCTTAAGATACCCACATTACATTTTTCCTTCACATTTTGTCCACATATAGTATATTCAGCAATCACCACACTCCTCCCATTTGAATGGAATCTGGAGCCCCAAGGAAGAACACCACTGAAGGCTTGGGGAATACATATGAGCAGGTAGATTTGCAAATTACTATGCACCTCACTGCCTTCACATAATTGCTCCTTTGCCACCGAATTCAGTTGAGTTTTCAACTTTCTCCGTGATATACCCTTCCCCCATCTTCACACTGCCATATGCCACTTAAAAAAAAAAAAGAAAAAAGAAAAAAATCACTTTTCTGCCTGCCAAAAACCGCACAGCCTGCTTCCCCCTGCCAGAATCCTGCTTTGCTGAAAAGAGGAGAAGCTGAGATCTGCTTGATAATACCAAAATAATCAAATCAAGTATTAAAACTTGGAATTCAAATGAACTGTCCAGGCTACTTTCACAAGCCATTTTTCTTCCCGAAAGCAGCCAAGTTGGGAGTCAAGTGCAGCCATGCCCTGCCCGCCGCGGTGAAGGCTATCAATTCTGAACTTAATCAAATCTGATCTTCCCCCAGCCAGACTAGGGCGTTTTGTCTTAGCTTGTGAAAGCTTCGTGACTTCTGGAGTAAAATATATTTACAGCGCTGAGAAACAGCCTCTTTTTCCTTTCTAAAAGGTCTTGTACATTTTTTTTTTTTTTTTCCTCTCCATGCCAAATGTGCCATGATCTCCTTCTGATATGTTCCTCAAAGGCTTGTGATGGAAACAAGAGTTCACTGCTGGGAATATTTTCAATGTACAATGGCCTGTAATCCACAGACCCTAACTAGTTGCACATTATTTAGTTCACATCCATTACAGTTTATAAATTAACAGAGATGTAATTTTTCTGTACAAAAAAAAATCAATGCATATTAATGCTTTTTTTAATTCAAATAGATTTTACATACATATAATCTAGAGACACAATACCAAAATCTGTATGAGTTAGGCAATGCATCACAGGAGTGACCAAAAACTCAACACATTTACCTTGACAAAATGACAGAACCTATTTCTGCTGGCTGAAAAAATATTAGCCTTTAATGCGTTTATTAATTTCACTAAATGTACTTGAAATGTTTTTCCTTAGCGGTATTCATTATTCCTTTTTGTGTTTCATAGTTACTCTTATTTATTTTTTCCATTTTGTTTTTACACCAAGGAGACTGCAGTCAAATAACACTCAGCAACTCATTTCCTCTCTTTGGACTGAAAAATTAAACAGATACTAAATTATGACAGTGAATTTAGAAAGGAGGGCTCCAAGGGCTTGAAAGAACATGTCTGAGATAATATGATGCTTCTAAGAATATTGCAATCACATCCAAGCAATCACCGAAGCGTGCCATGTAACTACCTCCTCAGCTAATATGCTTTTTTCTCCGTGATGACTAATCATGTTCTATTAAACAGCGGTAATGCTGGAAGAACTCAACTATACAAGTGTAATGAAGCCAGTATTCTCCCCGGACAGATTAGCTACAACTGATTTGACACATACCATCATAGGAGCTTCAAACCTGACAAACTCTGTGCTTGCTTCTGATTTATGCTGTCAAGCTCTTCAGAGAAGAGAATGAAATCCAGGCGTTGCGTTCGGTAGAGGTGAAATGTACTGATGTGCTTAACTGTCAGTTACGGAAAGTCACCATCTCTCCCTCCTTCTCCTCTTGCTCGCCTCTCCCTCCACCCCTTCCCTCGGCACCGGGGGAGCCTGCATCCCCTGCCCCGGGGACGGCCGCTCTCCCATGGTCCCGGTGCCACGCGCGGCGTGTCCTGCTCAACCCGCGCCGCTCTCGCCCGCTCGTTCCCATCGTTCGAGAGCTGTCACGGAAACAACTGCTTTCTCTGCAGCCCCTTTCGCTCCTTCTCATCCCCTTGTGCTCTCCGGACGCGCTGTTTCCGGATGGGACAGGGATGTACCGAAGGGAAAAGGGAAAAGGAGAGTTACTGGACTCACAGAGCAGAGCTGCGATGGGGATGGAGGAATATGAGGCTGCGGATGTACTTCAGGTCAATACACGAGGGAGCTCCTCAGATGATGGTGGGCATCCTCCCGCTGCTGTTGCTGCGGTTGTTGTTCTTCCTGGAGAGGTTTGGAGTGGCCATGAGGACGAAGCGCTCGTCGGGGCAGCCGTACTGGAGGAGAACATCGATGCACTCCTGGCTGGAGGCCTGCCGGGCGTAGGCCAGCGCCGTGTTCCCATGGGCGTCGCGCGCCATCACGTCGACGCCGTACTGCAGAGAGAAGAGACGCGGTGTTGGGAGCTGCGGTGCCAACAGAGCACGAAAACGGAGGGAGCGGACTGGGGACAAACTGGTTTGAATGTAACCAGGGATGGGGAATGGCAGTGGCCCAGGTTGCCCAGGGAAGCTGTGGATGCCCCATCCCTGGAGGTGTTCAAGGCCAGGCTGGATGAGGCTTTGAGCAACCTGGGCTAGTGGGAGGTGTCCCTGCCCATGGCAGCGGGGTGGAACTACATGATCTTTAAGGTCCTTTCGAACCCAAACCATTCTCTGATTCTGTGAGAGGGAGAGGAGAGCAGGATGCCAGCCTGACAACGTGAACAGCACTGAGTCACGTACGTAAAGGTTTCTATGGGGAGAGGCTCCTGGTGGAACAAAATTCACCGTGGTGGTGTTTCAGAGAGGTGCTAGGGCTCTCTCTCCTTCCTCATCTACACTCTCCTTTACTTCCCACCATGCAGCTGCAGACAGGCAGAAACATACTTGTTAAATCACATTGCTGCCTTTTGAGAGCATGCAATGAGGAACATCTAGACTGGGGACACCAGCAAAGGCTTCACGGAACCCGCAGGAAGGCGATTTGGGAGGTTCTACCGAGGGATGCAGCCAAGTGAAAGCCAACCCAGCCAAGCCCCCAAGGACTTACCCAGATCAAGAGCTGCACTAACACCACATTTCCCTTCCTGCAGGCCAAGTGGAGGGCCGTGCGCCCATCGCCGTCCCCGCAGGTCTCGTTCACCTCGTCCCGAGTCCCATGGGCCAGGAGCAGTATGACTGTCCGCAAGTCCTCCTCGGCCGTAGCCCTCAGGAGATGCTGGCCCAGAGACAGCTCCAGGCACTGCAGCGGGGCAAGGAAGAGCTTCTGCTCGTATTTCGCACGTATCCAGCGCTCTTTTTCTTCCCTAGAGAAGCCAAAGGAGACAGGTCACTAACCCAACCTTGCTGACTCTGTAAAACGGTCCAGGTTCAGCTTCGACTATCGTTACGCTAGCAAACAGCCATTAACCAACATGAAAAGTATTGCTTTTTCCTTCTGCAATGCTGAGCAATGTTTCCAAGGCAGAAGGCATATGGATGGCTCCCCTGTTTTTCCAAAATGCAAACCACCAAAACAATACTTTGAAGCACCATTCCCTCCCGACAGGTCAAAGAACTATCAGAAGCCTTCTGGATGCTATTAGGTTACAGGATAACAAGGACTACAAACAAGTCCCTCAGCTCCCCATTAAAGAAATTACCATACAATTATATGATCTAAGAGATCTAGCCCCAGACAAAGTCCCATTTAGAGGGACCTCAGGTAATCTGTCCAGCCTGTGGAAACCATACATAAGCCAGGCACCTTGTTCCTGGTGACAGATCTTCTCCTCTGGAGGACAAAAGGCAAAAGCTCTGTTTACGCCTTTCAGCCGTGTTTACACTGCTCTGGGTAATCTAGTGTCAGGTTAGCCCTAATCTGTTTTTAAATACTTATGTAAACAGATCCTTCCAGCAGCAAATCTGGATTAGTTTTGCATCATTTCCTGGTACATGCGGAGTGACCTTGCTTTGACCTCCTCGGATGCTTTCAGGCACAGTTTCCCAAAGCATCCGCTTCTCTACCCTGCCACAATTTACCTTACAAACAGGTCCTTTTTTTTTTTTTTTCTCCCCCCAGAGAAAAAGTGCAAACAGAAGATTAACACAGAGTGCTTCTTAAATCAAACCTTTGACTCCTGCAAGCTAAAAGAGACACACAAAAAAAAAAAAAAAAAAAAAAAAAAAAAAACCAAACCCCAAAACATTCGGGAAGCTTCAAATTAACCTTTGATGGCAGGATCTGATAAACAGAGTATCATTTCAGGTGTTCCACATGGAGAGGAGGAAGAAAGGGATTTCTGTTTCTATTGCATCCTTAGCGCATGGTTTTTGTCCTTGTATTTTTTTAGGGTAAAACCAGTGCAACGAGGAGGATAAGGTAACATACGTGCAATTACTCACAATAAAATGGGCATTCTTACAACACTGCAATGCTTCTAGGTCCAGTAGCCATCTAGTGTATCTTCAAGAATTTTTAGTAAAGCTCTCAAAATTTTTTTTTTATTTAAATACATATAGAGTCTGCAAATGAATCTCCCTCTCCCCTGGACCATCTTTTGGGTGATCATAGGTTTTGGCTCCTTCAGAGCACCGGTTGCTGTGATCACCATGGCTTGAAGAGAATTCCCTTTCTGCTTAGAAAACAAGTTGCTTTACACAAGTCTCCCACTTCTGATCACAATTCACCTTAAACCATAACAGCGAGCTCTGGTCTATACGGAGGCGTAGGATGCCTCCAGAGCTTCGGGCTCCTGGTACACAAACTCATTGGCAGGAATTTCCCATTTGCTGCCCATCACATGGAGCAGACAAAGGCAATCCCGCTGCTCTTGGCAGGCTGCAGAAGAGCAGAGGAGACACCAACACCCCGATCCCGCTCAGGTTCATCCTCCTGTCTCAAAAGGCCGGGAAAAGAACTGAAAACCCTGTTAAAAACAAACCTGACTCTGAGGAAGGGGAGCATGCTGCTGCCTGCACTGGTGATGGAGAGGATGCAAACAGTCCTTCCTTAGGGCCAAATTCCACCTTTGGGGTGACACCAAGGGTTGTGGGGGGAACACAGCAAGCATCACAAACAATAAAGGTGTTTTAAAAGCCTCAGACATTTGGGGGCAGCACATCACTGACACTGGCTGTCAAATGAGACTCGGATCTTATTGAACTATACAAACTGGGCACAAGAAAGATACATCGTTTGGATTTTCTGGTAGAAAACAAAACTGTATCATAGAGGTAGGAGGAACATCATGCTCGCCCAGGCCCGATGGGCAGCCAAAACGCAGAGGGACTGGTTTTGAATGAGTATCTAGAAAGCCAATGTCCATGGACATCCCACCTGCATCTCTGGCACAAACCATTTCATTTTGAATGGGAAGTCCCGGGGACTTCCCTGGAAGGCAGCTTCAGCTCCTCCACTCACATCCATCTCAGAAATCCTGACAACAAGCCACAAATACGGTGATTGTTTCTCCAATGCCCCAATTTCACTTCTGGGATCCACAGCTTGTCTGGGTTGAGGTTTCATTTCCCCAAGGAAGGCCAGCCCAAGAGCAGAGTTGTCAGCAGTAGATCACTTAACCTCCTGGCGGCTCCCTGGAGGACCACTGCTCACATCCCCTGTTAGCTAATGATCTAAAAAATGAATTACTGGAGCGGTCAGCAATAAGCAAGAAGACGAGGCACAGGGTTTCATTGCAGCCAGCTCTGACATACCTTTAAATAAATCAACTGAACAAGAGTATGAGGAAATGCAAGGAAGAGCAAAGCATCAGGAGAAAGACACCAAACCAATCCCTAAAAATAAAGGAAACGTACATCTGCTAGTAAATATTTCCCTGTTTTCTTCCCTTGCCTGTGATCCTGGTGACTTACACTCTAAACGACCCCTGCAACACCAGAGACCTTCAGCTGCAATTGTCAAAGCCAAAACAAAACTCTTTGACTGAGTTTTTAAAATCCAGCAGAGTCCCTTTCTCAGGACCAGAGTAAAGCCAGTGTGCTGGAGAGGCAACACCATCACGCACTCAAACTGTCCCTACGATACCTGATGCTGGAGAGCGTGTGAGCTGCCTCTTCTAAAATGACTTCTCTTTTCTTCAGTCATCATGCCAGCTGCTATTTTTTCAATGCATATACACAAAGGAATTAATAAACTCCTAGATAAACTTAGACAATGAAAAAAATATAAGATCAGACTTTCTTTGAGCCTTTTATGTCTGAAGCTATGCATTCAAACCCAGGCTGCTGATACAAACCTCAGACCTCACTGGTCATACAAGGGCCAAATCCAGCAGAGTAAAACTGCAAAATACTCTGCAGTACCAGGTGAGGAATGACCAAAAAATGCCACCAAGCTCTTTGCTCTTGCAGGAGTCTCCAACTCTAAGCACGCCACGGTGTGAATAATGAAATCCCTGCCACGGCAGCGGTACTGTACATAGGTAAAGGGTTATTAGAAACAGATGAAATTTTCAGTTCTCAGTTTATTTTGATCTAATTAGGTGCTTGCTTCTCAAGATAATGTCCAATTATTTAAATTACTCTGCCAGCCACATCACGTCATTATTATCTGGAAACACAAATACCAGGCACTGGAAGGGGGAAGGGCTCACTAGGTAACATGAGAGAATATAAAAAGCAGATTTCCTCCACGTCCAGCTTCACTACAGGAGCTACACCACATGCTCCACTTGTGGGTTTGCACTAGAGATGCTCATTCAGGAGCCTATGTCCTACACAGCTCAGCCCAGCATAGCGCCCTACCGCCTCGCTTCAACACAGGTGGTTTTACACCCAACAGGGATCTGAGCGGGAGCCTTGTGCCGCTGGTATCGATACTCCATCCTACTCCCCTCGCTCCCGTTCACCCCTGCCTTCAACTTCATTTGTCCCTCACGTATACTTGGTGGAAAGTACCATGAAAGGCAAACATGGAGAGGATGTGCAGGGTGGAAATAAAAGCTGTGTTCCTACAGCGACTCCGAATGGATTGCGTAGGCAACGGCAGGTGGATGGAGAGCCAACAACTCCAGCGTAAGAGCAGCCTTGTCTTACCAACATGACAACAAGGATGACAAAGACGTTGTGTCACTTGCTCGTAAGCTAATATTACTCATGGTTTCTAAAAAGGCTCAAAGACATTTTGAAAGGTTGCATTAAAAATGTAATGGAGAGCAGGTATTTACCACGGCAGAGCATTGATTTCTCACCAGCAGAAATACTGAGCAGGCTGGGTGTAGGCATTTTGAAGGGAAACTTTATCCTTGACACCTCCAACAATACGAAAACACTCTTGAGATTTTTAATTTTTTTTTTTTTTTTTTTTCTTAAGAAAACAGTTCTGCAACTGAGGAGGCCTCTAAAGGGTCTCTCCAGCATCACCACAAGGGTACCATGCTGGGGCGTTGCCATTTTTGGCTGTTTGCTAAAGTACAACCCTTCAACGCTGGAGTAACCTGGCCAGCTCAGCAAGAGCACTGCCAAATTTTCTCTCCTGTTGGCCACTTGACAAAGTTAATGTGTCTGTTCCAAGAAAACGAGGTAAATCTAACGCCCATACCTCCCAAACTCCTGGAGAGGTCCGGAATGTGTCATTAGCTTTGTGGTCCAGTGTAGGAGGAGCATGCATCACCTAACGACCAGCGCCGGTTAAACAAACCCCTTCGCGATGACCTTGGGCGCATCCGATAAACCGCGTTGCTTTGGTGAGAGCTGGTGACACAACGTTGGGATGGGTAAAAGAGAAACATCGGGGTGGGGGAGACGGGACTGAAACGTTGGGAAAGGTTGACGACGTTTTTAATTGCAATGAGCAAAGGGAAAGGGGGGAGAAGAAGAGGAAGTGAGAAGAAAGGGCTAGCAGCAAGGAATTTCCAAAGTGTCTTCCTGCCCCAAGCAAAGCAGGAACTGGGAGGAGAGGCATGGAAGAGGAGCTGGGAACAATATGCTGAGAAAACACAGGGGCTTCCTCTCTCTGCAGGAGAAGACCCCACTCTATTGCAAAGTGAGTGCTTAGCAGTTGACTGCTTCCTAGCATGCATGCCTTCTCTCCCCAGCTGCGTTGCTAAGGGGGAAGGAGCACAAGCCCACCGGGGATAGATAGGTCCCCGGAAAACAAGAGGGCTCCAGACAGCAAACAAAGACCGATGAGTACTTACTCCTTAATTACTAAAAGCTTTTAAGAAATGGGCCACTGTAAATCCTGCTTGCCGAGGAAAAGGAGGCAACGGACCAAGATTTATGTGAGCTGGGGCAAAGAGGAAATAAATATCTCTCTGGCTCCTGATCAATATTATGAGTGTTTTGCCAACCTACAGGGTGTTTT